TCCATATAATGGTTAATATTTATAATATAATATGGACAATGGTTAAATTCATTATGACAGTTTAAGTGCTATTCACAAATGTATGTAAATCTACTTCGTGATGAATGAAGCATGGCAATAAATGTATGCATCTGATTCTTCATTTGTTCTGTATTCTTTGACGAGAATGAGTTTCGTTAATGATGATTACTCCCGCAGATTTTTTTATAAGAGGATAGGACTTTAACTGGAGAATAGTTATGAAAAATATATATATATAAGTATAGGCGGTCTGTGCACATGTGGTGAAGCTGATACCTCATTGATTTGCTAATCGGGACTTGGAAATCATAGTCTGTCATTAAATTGATTTTAAAATATATGGTTTTGAATGTAGTACGTCCTGACATCATAATATTATGTTGTAAACAACTTATCTTATCTTATGTTAAGTAAAACAATTATTGATAACTTCCTGAATTTCAATTGTTCAATGAACAGAATTATTCACAGCTCTGGCGTGAGACAACAATAAATTAGATGTTAACAAAGATTGTCCATTTTATGATCTTAGGCACATGTCGGCGCACTTACATGTGAGCCGTCTAGACGACTGTCTGTTTTGTAATTAAATGGCAGCTGCCATCCAGCCGAATACTTAATCTTGAGACCTATAACTTGTCTCATAATTAACCAAAACATTAGCCCAAGAAACCAAACTCTAGCTCGCAAACACCCCTTACTCACCCCAATATCCCAAAGAATAACTAACTACCTCAATGAACACCAAACTCCAAATCTTAAACAAAACTGCAAAAAATCAAATATATTCACCCCTAAACTCAAAATACCCAAAATAGACACAACGGTAGCTAACCAAATGAATAAACAAACCGACCCAAACATAGCTAAAACTACCACACTTGCATACATACACGAAAATTGGGTGTCACATATACACTGACGGATCTTCAGACCCGATCTCCAACCACACAGGCTTCGGAGTCCATACCACATAACCAGTTATATCCACACAATCTTACCGACTCCCTAACAACCAATCTATATTCACGGCCGAACTTATTGGCATGGCCTCAGCCCTGCATAACTAACAATCTAAAAACAACAATAAAATCCTAATTCTCACCGACTCCCTTAGTGGACTACAAGCCCTCCAAAACAAAAATACAAAAAAACAACCTAAATTAATCAACCAAATACTTAAAAGCTCCAACGACCTAACAAAAGCAGGCAAACAAATAACCTTCTTGTTGATCCCCGCCCACGTAGGAATTTACGGCAACGAAAGCGCCGATAAAGCAGTTAAATTATCTCTTAAAATACCAGAAATAAGCCTAAACCTTCCCATCTCAAAATCAGAAATTAAAAGTGTAAACAAACAAAAAATAACCAAAAAATGGCATAATCAATATCAAAACTCAAATAGCCAAATCAAAAAAGTGCTCAGAAAACCACTAGCCAAACCTAAAATCCTACACCCCTCTAAAAAAATTGACAGATTAATTACAAAACTCCAAACAGGACACACGAACCTAAATAACCACCTAAAAAAACTTAAGAGACACACCACAGGCAACTGCCCCCACTGCAAACAACCTGAAACCACAGAACACGCACTCATCCACTGCACCCACTACCAAACACACAGAACCACACTACAAACCACCCTCAATCTAAATAAGGTTCCTACTCTAGATGAAATACTAAACCCTCAAAATAAACTAGAAAACTTCAAGGCCCTAGGCGTATTTCTAATCAAAACAGACCTTATTAAGTGCATCTAAAAACTAATTAATCTACCAATCCAAAATCAAATAAACATACAAACACCCACCTCACCCGGCTCCCTTAGTTCCCTCCTCAACCCACCTCGGCATTTATTCCAAATCTAAAAATCTCAAAAATTCAATATAAGCAACCCCTAAAAGCCCCCCTCTTGGGTTGCACACACCACTTTCACCCTTTTCGGAATATACTAAATGGTCCGGTCAGGCCCGTGTGCGAAATACGCTGCAGTCGGAAAGCGCACGTTAAATCTTCTATATCAGTCAGTAGTTGTCTCAGCACTACACAATCAGCAATCTAAAAAACAACAAAAAATCCTCATCCTAACCGACTCCCTCAGTGGACTACAAGCCCTAAAAAATAACAACACTAAAAACCACCCAAAACTAATAAATCAAATACTCAATAGCTCAAACAACTTAACCAGGGCAGGTAAACAAATAGAGTTCATTTGGACCCCCGCCCACGTAGGAATCTTTGGAAATGAAAAGGCAGATAAAGCAGCAAAATTAGCCCTTTAACTCCCAGAAATAAGCTTAAACTTACCCAGCTCAAAATCAGAAATCAAAAGTCTCACTAAACAAAAAATCAACAAAAAATGGCAAAATATATACCAAAACTTAAATAGCCAAATCAGGAAAGTACTCAAAAAAAACCCAAATAAACCAAAAATACTACACCCATCCAAATAAATCGACAGAATAATTACGAAACTACAAACAGGCCACACCAAACTAAATAATCACAGTAAAATAGCTAATCTACACACAACAGGAAACTGCCCACATTGCAAACAACAAGAAACACCAGAACACGTACTCATTAACTGCACACACTACCAAACACACCGAACAACACTACAGACCACCCTAAATCTTAAAACCGGACTTTCACTAGAATCAATCCTAAATCCACAAAATAAATTAGAAAAATTCAAAGCCATAGGTTTATACCTAATTAAAACAGGACTAATTAGTCGCATTTAAACCCCAAATAAAATAATAAAACCAAAACTACCTTATCTAACAACCACCCAACACACACAGCTCCTTAGTCCGTCCCCTACCCACTCTTGGCATTCTTTCCAAATCTTAAAATTTCAAAATTACTATATAAGCAACCCCTAAAGTCCCTAATTCATAGTCTTTTTATTGTTCAAATTACTGATAAAACATATTTTAACTTGTTCCTTCTAACCATATTTCCAAACAATTCCAAACCATTCCAAACCATTCCAAGTCATTCCAAACATTTCCAGTGTTGGAAATATGTTTAGAAATGTTGCCATTCCAATTTTGGATTTTCTGGAAAGATCGATCTTTCCAAGCTTTGGAAAGTTTGGAATGAGCGATCTTTCCAAAGCATTCCAACGTTCATTCCAAATTGGAATGGACGCTATTTGGTCTTGTGATATGCAATTGGTCTATTTATGTTTTCGTTCAGGTTCACATGTGCGTTCGCTATCAATAGACGTTAACGTGGAATCATTGAGAGTCCAATTAGTGCTAGTGCTAGTAAATTTTAAAGTGTTCTGCTTGGATGCTAATGACTAGATCAACTCCCATGGATAAGATTCATGTCGTGTAACGTTCGTCGTCAGTACATCATAAAAGAAGTAAATCTTTGTGAGTTGCCTGGAAATACGTTGAAGTAAAAACAACATTTTGTGCAAAGTCACAGGAGCTGAAATGTCCTTTAGTTCGATTCTATTTATTTCGTTCACAGAATGAGAAAAACAGATTGAAATGGAAATGGCTAGTGATACAGTGAAATCAATATACATGTACACCCGATAGACCATAACGCATTCCATTTTATTTTCTCTTCACTACATGTTAATGTTTAATGCAAGACACAACAAGAACTTGGTCCATGGAAGATACAGGCGATAACTACGTGTTTGCAACACGCTGGCAAGACGCTATCGTCTAATCACGATTTGAGAGGATAAGTCATGGAGTTTGAATGCATCCCCCTTCAGGGATACCCACGCTACAACCCATCCAAGGGTGCGAAATCGGCAACACATCCAAACTATCGTACTGTCGTCTTGATCCGTGTCTAGATTACAGCTGCAGTCTACAGCGATCTATGAATTTTGTATCTATTGGACACATCTTTACAATCACAATTCACTGATCGACCAATTAATCAGTGATGATTAACGCTTGTAACAGTCACAGGTTCATTAACTTGGGAAATCTTTCCCGTCACGTTTGTCGTATCGGCAATTTTGACGTCTTGTACTTGATGTAAATTCTGATTAGCTGAATTGGTCACTTGTGATTGCATTCATTTCCCAATGAATGAAAAAAATTATACCACGCCCACCGAGGCGCACCTCTTTTATTACTGCGGAATGTCGGGGAAATCCCAATGCACAGGTCATATAGCGACTTTCATGCATATTCATTGTCCAAACAACCCTTTGAAACCGAAGGCCGAGAATGAATGAAAAAGCAAACGTGAAGGATCGCTCGCCTGTTTTTTTCCCGCTCGCCTCGGTTCAACTTTCAAATATTCGGATTTTTATTTCTAATTAGCATTTTTCCAACTGTGTTTTACCGTAATCAGGGAAGTAATGTTTGAATCTGGCGGTAACTGACCATGTTATTTGAAACAGACGTCCTCTCCCGGACATATTTCTTCCAGCTTCTTACAGTCTGACTGTTGCAGTTCTCTTCGCCTCTTGCTTTAATTGACAGGTCCAGTGAATATTGTTTTGATCTTACTCTCCGTTGATTGGCTACTGACTGTGTAGGCGTATCAAGTTATGTGCATAGATTAAACGATCACCTGATTCATGTCACGCCACAGTATGTATTCCTACACCTTGAATGTTTATCAATCTCGTCATTTTTGACTGTTTTGATATATACAACTGTTTTGATTAAACTATTGTAGATAAAACATGCTTTTCGCTGTCGAATTTAATTATAAACATTGACTGTGTATTTGTTGGATTCATTGAGGTATGAATCGAAAAACCGTGCAAACTGTATGAATCCGTATACCTCAATGAAACGAAAAAATACACAGTCAATCCTAAATGAACTCAGACAATGAAAGTCAATTCTTTAATGCACACACACTCTGCTTGAACGTATACATTGTACATACTTACAGGCAGATACTGAAGACACTCAGTGACGTCATTGATCGATAGGACAGTTGCAAATCACTATTACTAATGCCGCTTTCATACGAGTAAGTTCTGCTGGCTGATTGACGATGGCAGGTTGTAACCAGAATCACCATGTCCTTCATGCAACGTTCATAGCCGCTGTTCTTGTGGCTCGAGTCACCTGTCAATGTGGACAGGGAAGTTATGGGCCTGTCCAACTCCTCCAAGACGTACTTGCCCGTGATTCCACTTCCATATGGATGAAAACAGAGTTCCTATTGGCCAGCTGTGCTTCCATGTGCAAAAGACACAAAAGATGCGCTTCATTTTTCCACAATTCAGAAACCGGATACTGTCAAGCTCATTCGTGGACATACAGAAGCAAGGACTACATGAATCCTCGGGCAGGGTTCAAGTACTACGTGCAGTACACCAAGGGCGCTGGTAAGCTGGGTATGAACTTGTGCGAGACTTAACCATCTATTGTTTTCAAATGGTTTCCGATATTGGAAGTCATACTTTTTGTTTGTTTGCTTTTTAACGCTGCTCTCAGCAATACTCCAGCTATATGACGGCGGTCTGTAAATAATCGATACTGGACCAGACAATCCAATGATTGAAATCATGAGTATCGATCCACGCAATTGGGATCGATGACATTCATCAACCATGTCAGCGAGCCTGACCACCCGATCCCGTTAGTCGCCTCTTACGACAAGCATGGTTTGCTGAAGACGTATTATACCCCAGACCCTCACATACTGTCACTGTTTGGAGTATGTAATGGCATTTGGTTTATGTTCTTGCAAAGTGATGGTGATGTGAAATTCGGTTGTATGTTAAATGTTCGTCAGAGAAACATAGAAAAAAAGAGATACTAATTTGACGGAGCTACGTCACACAGTCACCTCCAAATTTGGTCAACTGGAGATAGCACAATAACACTAATCATCGTGACGTGATGTGCACTCTTCCAAAAAAGAAACGCACAGGTAGTATGTAGTTCACTGAACACAAACATTCCGGTATAGAAATTGAATATATGTTATTGGAAAATGTTGGTGGCCTGATATTCGACAATCGGTGCGTCCAAACGCAGCCATTGTCGATTTGCAATGTTTAAAAAAACGGTGTTTTCACACTTGTTAAAAAATGTCATGGAGGAAAGCATTTAAGAGAACGGCACGTGCAAGTCAAGTTATGGCATTCGTAACTCGTGGTACTGGTTATAAAAAGGCAAGCATAAGCCAGAGATTTGTCATTCATATGTGAACATTTATCAAGTTCCAAAATGCCGAGACTCAGCACTGCCGATCGGAATATCACCATAGGACGTATCCACAGAGGGGAATCACAGTCGACTGTTACACGCAACTTTAACGTCCACCACAGCACAATTTGCGGCCTTTGTGACCGATACACACAGTTCAATGCCACTGCAGACCGTCCGAGAACCGGCCGGCCAAGAGTTACCACCCCTGCACAGGATTACTATATTCGACTGTTCCACCAACGTAATCGCAATACCACAGCTATGGAGACTGCAGGACGCATTCCTGGTTTCAGGAGGATACCGAACCAGACTGTCAGGAACCATCTTCGCGAGGCTGGCATCCAACCTAGAAGACCAGTTATCGTCCGTGTTTGATTGACAGCAACGCTTGCATTGGTGCCAAACCTTACAGCCTCGTCGTCGAAATGAGCGTTTTGCTCCATATTCTGTACGTGAATCCGACAATTTAGGTGCAGGTAGTTTCATGATTTGTGTGTGCGGGTGGGGGGGGGGGGGGGGGGGGGGGGGGGAGTTAGGGGCTTTATCCAATACCATGAGATCTGACTTGGTTGTGGTTCGGGGAAATTTGACAGCAAATCGCAACATGAATCAAATTCTTCAATTCTTCAACATCACCTTCTTCATTAACGCACACAGCTCGTGTCAGGGTATACTTCCTTCATGATGCCAACATCAACGACTTGCCCAGGCCGTCGAGATCTCCAGATCTCAACCCAATCGAACATCTCTGGGATGAAGAGATGGTAGTGTTGGTGGCGTTAAACCCGTTATGAAACAATTTCGTAAACAATCTATAAATATGTTTGACTAAGAATGGCATTCCACTCCAAATAAAACTTCAAGGCCTGCCAGTCATGGAGGGTCTGGAGGAGAAATCCTCAATGGAGGAGCTGACCTGGGCCATCAAGAGGTTGTTTTGCTCACCACTCCTTAGTATGACTCAAATACACAACCACAGTTCACAGAACGTCCATATTAATCCATTTTCAGCATCTACCGGGTCTTGTTTTCATTTCAAGTCTAGCCTTAATGGGTACAACTTATATTTCAAGTGAATGAAGCCGCCATTTTTATTACTATTGTCTGACAAAGGGACGTACCTCCAAATCGAATGTTTGGTACGGATGACGTCACGACAAAAGCAACACTCCGAGTTAACAAAGTTCATGGTTAGCATAAATCATTACATTTGGTCTTTAAATGGATTGGTTCGTTATGATTTATGTCAATATTATGGATTGAAGTTGTATTTGCTAACGTTCATCAGCTGATGAAGACAGTGCCTCACGTGAGCAAATTTACCACGAGCACAAAGTCATTCTTTAAATCATCACAAACATTCGAAACAGAAAGCCTCACACTAATGTTTGAGGAATTATGTCTATTTGATTACTGAAAAAAGATCTCGCCTTCATTTTAAGAAATAAATGAATGAATGAATGAATGAATAAATGAATAAATAAATAAATAAATAAATAAATGAATAAATGAATAAATGAATAAATAAATAAATTAATGAATAAATGTTCATTGATAAGAATGATACTTTATATAACTATTTTGTAGTGTATTCATGTCCAGTTGAGTGGTCAGTGTCAATGTTGATTGTGTAGGTCTCCGTGACTGCAGTGAGATTCAAGCCAACATCTCCTCAGCGGCCGATGACACCTACACCATCACTCCACCTGATGGGCAAAGTCCGTTCCTAGCTCACTGCGATCTGACCCACAACGGTGGTGGATGGACGGTAAGATACAAAACTTGATTCCTTCAAACAAACGTCCATGTACCTTGTGACAATAATGAATATATATTCGATATGCATTAACACAATCTCATTAAAATCAGATTTTATTTCTTGCTACCGATAAACATAGATCAGGGAATACCCCATTACGGGTCACGTCAGACCGACCTTGCGCAAACTTTGACCGACCAATGGAATGACTAACAAGTAGTCGATATTAGCCAATCAGGGAGCAGCTTTCTCGTGCTTTACGGCACTAATTTCAAATTGGCGAGAACGCTTCGAAACATATTTTGACAAATTCTCGATTAAAAATTGGGAAGCTGAATAAAAGACTGGAATGGCTAATAGATGGCATAGAGTGTATGGACTCAGTCGTTAAGCCCGTAACTATCGTTTGGTGAGGTGAGGTGAAATGGGGTTTAACGTCGCGTCCAAGATTATTGCACTTATATAGCGACTTGGATGTACGTGTGTGTGTTTGTGTGGCTGCTTGTACTAGTCCTGACTGGTGCCAATTTATAGTGCTAGCACACTGAGATACCATGCCGCAGTTTAACATGAATACCCCACTCAAACACAGTATACTGACTCCGAGCCGACCAGTCCTTGTTTTAGCCCCTTTATGCAGAGCGCCAGACAGGGTATCAACAAGTACCATCTTTTAACATCTATTTGTATGACGCGGCCGGGGATCGAACCCCTGACCTTCCTCTATTTTTCGGAATACCCCATGTCAAAGATTTCGAGGTTTTATCACATTCCGACTGTCACTTTCATGATCTGGTAAGCGACGATCTGATTGGTCGTATAAAAGGTCGTTCTGACGTGACCCCAATGCGATGTCCTCAGGTCTTTGTGTAGCGGTAGCAAGAATGATTTTAATGAGATTGACATTAACATAACACTGATTTTATTTAAGGTGATCCAAAGACGACTTGACGGATCGCAAAATTTCTACAGAACATGGAATGAGTACATGGATGGGTTTGGTGACCTTGACGGGGAATACTGGTTGGGTGAGTTAGTTCAAGTACTTTAGGAAACATGGATATACGTACGCTTGATTTGACCCTCGGGGCCTTTGACATCATGTGTCTTCCTATGTTAAAGTATCACGACCGTATGATAACTAGAAGTATAGGGAATGACAATTCTAGCTCACTTCCACGGCAAAACCGACGATGCGATTCAATGATCGTCATGATTTGTTTAAAAAGAAACATCAATATTAATTAATAATGGATAACATTTATTAAAGTCCACGAGGATATTGGAAAGATATAGCAGCAATACAAAAATTAGCCACTGCGGCTAAGGTATCTAAAGATGTGGCCAAGGATTGGTTAAAGAAATAAGAGATGTGGCAAATATACTTACTGGCACTGCGTTATAAACAGAGGAAGAAGATATTTTTACAATGAATTAAGTTCATCAGGCCTACCTCTTGTTTCTTCCCCATGATAATGTAAGACGGAAAACATATAAACATGTAGTGGATGTGTCTAGTCGATACAAAGAGGCTGAACCATTAACCTCAAAAGATTCAACAGAAGTAGCTAATGCACTGAGTCGCATATATAAACGCGGACAACTAAAATGTCCCAAGTTATTTTAAGGAGATCCTGGTCACGAATTTATGGGATCAGTAACTAAATTTTTAACAAAGCACGATGTCACAATCAGGCGTGAGGAAGAAGAGGCCCACCATAGTCAAGCTATCGTTGAAAGATTTAACCGGACATTAGCGGAATGTTTGGTTGGATATCAGTATGGGATTGAAATGAAATTGGATCAATGAAGATCAACCGAATGGGTGACACGGTTATCAGCTGTTGTATCAGCGCTCAATAATGAAGTAACTCTGTGACTTACAAATCTTCAGCACCGAGGAGAGGCAAAAGAACAAAACTTCAGGATAGAGTAAGCGTAAGATATTTATACCAGCTCGGTGAACTCGAAGGAGGCCAACGTCATGCAACTGATCCGAATTGGTCTCTTATAACATTAGTTGATTTGTTATGATAGCAGGTGAGCCTATTCTACATTATCTTAAAGATGGACCTGCCAGGGGATTTTACGAGAAGAGATGCTCATAGTTCCCAGAGATACAGTATTACCGCCCTAAGTAACCATAAGCATAGGTAGTTACACCATCCTTTTCAATCCATCTCATTGTATCTAAAGGGGGTAATGATGTCTTGTTCATTCTTAATCCCCATATCCTGTGATTGTCCCTTCTTAAAGTGTTCATCTCGTGATTGAATGTTCTACCATTGAATAATGCTTCTTTATACTGTTTGTGTTTGATAAGCTTTTTTACAACATACTTCTTATCTCCCCATTATCAGACTTCTTTATGAAATACATCTTAGGCCTTAATCCAACATACTCAGCAATAGGAGTTCCAGCACATTCATCCTTCATCTTACCTAATACCTTTTTGCAATGGATTATCTTTTTGGTAATTACTTGTACAGTACATATCTATTTTTTTCCGCCATATGTTTATACACAACCTCGGTTTGTATTTCCATCAACAAAGAATCAGTATCGGTATATAACACCTCGCATCTATCGCCGTATTGCTTCTTAAGTTCTTTGTAAGAAAAATCATACATTAAGTGTTTTGACAAGTCAAGAATACTCATACCAACGTACACTGGTCTGTTGAATTTTATATTACTTTTTTGCATATGCAGTCCCGCTAAGTCGTTATCAAATATCTTACTTCTGTTGAAAGGTGGACTGGCTGTACGTTTCTTCCTCATTAGATCTGACCAATTGACCAAGTTATTCATGATCTTATATAAGTTCTTTCTGAAATCGTTTGTAGCCATCATTCTTAAATTTGTGTTCAATTTTTTTTAGGGCTCACTCCAAGGTCTTTGATCAAATTGAGGAACTCTGTATAATTTTTCATGGCTAACGATAGATATAACTAGAAATTTCTGTAGTGAACTATATATTTTGTCTTATCCTTCAAATTTGGTACGATGCTTTCTACGTTAGCTAACCTAGTATTACCCATCAAGGAGTGTTGATATTCTGACATCAGATCTTTATTAACCATTTATCTTTCGAGAGCTAGCTGATAACTGTTATGATCTTTATGTAACTCTGTTGGGTGTTCTAAGTCAATTACAAGACTACTAAGGTTCCTCAGACTGTGCTAACTGAACATGGTGCAATGGCTGCAACTAAAGATAAAGCTAATTTGGAAGACGTACCACAATGCGCTAAGCATGTCTCAGATGGACTCGAAAAATTCTTGGAAACTTATGATAATTCCACGTTGCAGGCACCATCCTTGGAGTACAATATTAGGGAATAACGAGGTCTTGACAAGGCAATGCAAACAATGCGGGGAGAACTCATCAATAATATAGCCAAGCCATCTGAACTCGACAATCATAAAGCTTATGAGAAAACAAAACCTGAACAGCCGGACGATGAATTCAGTAGACGCCACATTGCGGAAAGATTCCGAAACTTAGTAGATGAAAGATCAGCCTGCCTCGAAGCAGCTTCCACTAATAGAGAGGCAATTTGTTCACAAATCAGTCGAAAATATTCGAATAACTATCGATCAAGTCCTCAATGATGATACAACACTGGCTGAGAATATTAAAACATTGTTCAGAGAACAAGTGATAATCATTACCAGTATTTTAACCGCATTGGGATTTATTATATCAACATTGACTGTCGCCTTAACGGGAGGTGGTGGTATGCTTATACCACGTACCATGCCGTCGAATGGTGTAAAAGAGTGGATAAAAAAGCATTTAAAGGCATTGGGAGGAGCACTGGGAAAGCTCATAGGGAAAGCCGCATCTACACTTCCCCGGTATAATAGGGAGTATTGTGTCCTGGCTCTTGAACTTATTAGCCAAGACTGCCACTTATCTTAGCCAAAACATGTGGGCACTGATCGAAGCAATTGTTTGGTAGTGATCAATAAGGTACTCAACGATGAAACTACACTGGCCGATAAAATTAAAACATTTTTCAGAGAACAGGGGATAATCATTGCCAGTATTTTAACCACATTGGGATTTATTATATCGACTTTGACCCTCGCGTTAACCGGTGGCACAGGAGGTGGCACACCGGCTAGTGATAAAAATGGTGTAAACGAATGGGTAAAAAAGCATTTAAAAGCATTAGGAGAAGTACTGGGAAAGTTCACTGGAAAAGCCGCGTCTGCACTTCCCGGTGTAATAGGGAGTATTGTTTCCTGGCTCTTGAATTTATTAGCTAAAACCACCAATTGGCTTAGTCAAAACTTGTGGGCACTCATCGTAGAAATTGTTGGGCTGTTGCGCATATCCGCTAAAGACCATTGACTTAAATCATTAAGAACTATTTTTCCAAATCATGAGATTCCACCTATTATAAGTGCTGTTTTATCGTCCACATGTTGTTGATTTTTAGCTTCATTATGTGGCTTTACAACTTGTGGTTGTTGCGCTTCTCATACAGTAGATGACTGTGGCTTGACTTTTTTTGTTTCACCTGTGTTTGTTTGCGTTATTAATTTGGTGTTAATATCTGAATTTATTCACGGTTTTTCTGATGTAGCAATAACAATTTTATTATTATAGCCTATCACTTTACCAATCTTAAGTTCCATATTACTCGAAGACATGTAAAGTCCTGCCCAATAAACATAGTCTACTTTGGATTGAGCGAACGGTAATACATCTTGATAACGTTTTATAGAAGATGGTATGTCAACTGGTGAATTAATGGCATCCTCTATGCTTGCGACAAACTGCTTTTGTGCATCGAGTGCCGTCCCAGAACCAGTTATTCCTTATATGTTTGTGATTGTACACCAAGAGTTGCCCATACACATCATCCTATTGATTCATTAACTCTTACAACTCCTTGGTTAGTAAAATTATTTTCTGTTTTATCATTAAGAAATTCATTCCAAGCGTTTGCGGTGTCGTTCAGCTGTACAAACTTTGTAACAATATAAGGCAAACCATACTTAAAGATATCCTCTCCAATCGTTACTCGAAAGTTCCCAGCCATGATAAAGATTACACCTTCTCACAAGAAGCTTGTTTCGCTGTATCAACTTAAATGGATTGAATGGTTGATGAGTTTTTTAAAGTAAATCATCACTTTCTTCTTTAACAGTTTTTTGTCCACTGTAGGAAATACCTATACCATGGTTAAGTCCTTTAATGCATTTAACTGTACTCTTAGAAATATCAAATTCCTGACAAATACGTTCATATGCGAACCTATTGTACGGATTATTTAATGCATTCCATGCTCGATCTGCGGAAATGGGGCACTAAGTTCTTCTAATCTGATATAATACATGAAATGATAAAACAGACTTATTTAGTTCAAAACCAGGGGCATAAAGGGACACACCACATCCTGTTGTGGCACACCATGCAGAGAAAATAAACTGGTTGTGGAACCAATCATGCAACATTTTGTTACTAGTTGCTGTGACCCTGTATTTTTCAAAGATATCAGGGAAATGAACAAAAAGCTGAGCACCAGAGGCTCTTTCTAAAATCGACTGATTCGTAATGTAAGTTGATGTCAAATTTAAGTTATGATATAGTATCATTGTATATGTAATATGTATGTCACACTCTCAGATATAACAAATGGTCAGTCTATTGAACTGCTTCATACTATAGATAACTCGAACATATTACCCGCGGTGGACCATTATAAATGCTGCGAGAGATAATAATAGGATATGGATATTAGAAAAGAGTGGTATTGACAAATACATTATTATACCTGATGGGTATTACAGCGTATGCTAACTCAATGAAGAAAATATTTTTAAGCCTAATGGAATTAGTCTCACAAAAAATGAGTCGAATGGGATATTGGATTTGAACGCTGGAGAAAAGGATGTAAAGCTTTTCATGAACTTAGCAGTTACACTTAGATTTGCAATCGGAGATATAACATTAATCAAGGCAACATTTGATGGAGAATAAATTACCCGATTTAGTTCCCTATAAAGAGTTGTGCATCCATCTTGATCAAATAAGCACAACGGATAATATTCAACTAGAAAGTCCTTCAACTCTACTCAGATCTGTTCGTAATGTAAGTTATGATATATTATCTGTGTATATTTAATTTGTATGTTACACTCCCGGGAATAGCAAATGGCCAGTCTATTCAACTGCTTCACACTATTGACAACTTGGTGGGGCAACTTCAAATTTTGGTGGACCAATATAAGTGCTGCGAGAGATAATAATAAAATATATGGAAATAGAGACTGGTAGAGTGATATTACACTGTATGCTCACTCAGTGATAACATTTTTAAGTCTTTGAGAGCTAGTTTCACACAAAATGAGTCGAATGGGGTTCTTATTTTATGCAGTGGAGAAAATGATATATTTCTTCACAGTCAACGTTGCAGTATTATTTTTTTGGGAGTATCGCCCGTTACAACCCTTCAAGTTAATAAAAGTGAAAGCATTTTGCTTACTAAGATATTTATGCCATATAATATACATTTTTAATAAGGCTGATGTATACTCTCAAGACATTTAAGCAAGACCAATTAAAGACTCTTATATAATATAATAATATATATTATTGGTTTATATCAGGTGTAACTAATGTTATATTTGGGATAACACTTTCTTAGTATAACATTAGTTACATTTGACCACTTTCTAAATGGCATTGTGTATTCATAGCTTTCGGCCGTGGGAGCCGTGCCAATTTACACTTGTCAGGGGGGTACTCAAAGTACGTGATCTAGACTACCAGTTGTCGGACTTTCATTTTTGTGGAAGCCTCGGTGGCTGAGTGGGTTAGATCACTGACTTTGTGTGCTGGCGATTAGGTGCCTCACCCTGGCAGGTGTGGGTTCGAATCCCGGACGGGACTCAACCCCAAAAAGTACTAGAATCTGTACTTTGCTAAGAAAGTGTTATCCCAAATATAACATTAGTTACATTTGACCACTTTCTAAATGGCATTGTGTATTCATTATATCAGGTGATCGATGAAACATCTGAAAAGATAGACACTGTTGATGGATTTCGTTTACATGAAATAAGCGACTTAAAACATTAAATAGAGAAGGAGAGGGTCTTGAGACTTGGATTATATAAAAAGTGTCACAGAGCTGCTCTCGACGGAGCTGACACTGCACTTGTAACAGCTAGCATGGGACTTGGCGTACCTGGTGTTGGTTTATTAACAACTATACTCGCCGCACATGGTATGGAAGTATGGAAGTAGCGGCCAGATTCTCTGGTCTTGCAGGAACAGCGATAAAATTTATTTCTCATAAGTTGCAAAAGAAAGCATTAAAACATGATAATGTTCGGATACTCGCCAAAAGAAAGTTGAACAGCATTGAGGATCATATTTCAACAGCACTGGCTGATTGTAAGATATCCGAGGAGGAGTTTCGTTTGGTGTTGTCAGAACTCACCAAATACAACGTAATGAAGCAGGAGATTCGATCAAATTCTCGTAGATGAAGTGAAGATGAGAAAAAAAGTTCATAGAACAAGGGAGACAACAAGCGCGTCAATTAGTCCGTGCCAAAACCCAACAACTGGTTGAAGATTGAGAATAGATTTTTTCCTGAGCTAGAATCACCATTGCCTACAAAAATGTAGAAGCATTGGTGAGGTTCGAAAATGGTTCAGGTGGCGGTGAACTAGAGCCCTTCTCGTGACAATTTAGCTTAGACTCATGATGATCATTGAATCGCATTGTGTTCTTTGCGTACAAAAATCCCTCTGTAGTATCAGTGTAGGGGTATAAATCTAACTCCAGTGGAAGTGAGCTAGAACTATCATTCCCTATACTACTTAACTGAAAAACTGTTTTCAATGGCGGTTTAGCACCACCCCACCCCAGTCCCTCCACCCACCCCCCTCCCACCCACTACCACCACCGTAAGTAATCGAGTCTGGACAAGGGAAACCAGTCACCACCCACCCATTCCCCTTTCCCACCGAAATATATTATCTTTGACATTTTGTTAACCCTAAGGATACTTTTGGAATCGACTGGTTTTTAAAATAAAAAAAATATATTTACAGAAGCTAACCCACCAACAGATCCTCATTTAGTTATATAGGACGGTGGGGTTCAGCCCCATTCACTCGCACACGTTCACATTTATACACGTCGTTGGAGTTGAGGATATCTTTGAAATTAACAAAACTCGACAGAGTTAGGGGGCGTGTGCCAATTTACAACACTGTCGGATCATGAAATGATTCACGGAACCTAACCGACGTTCAATGACGCTAAACCCCATTCAATCCGGCATGTTTACATTTATACATGTCGTTGGGGTTATACTCAAGTATTTCTTATAAACATAGTTTTCTCTGTCGTTATTTTATTCCAACTATGTAGTCATGATTTAGGTAACGAGAACATCTGGCGCATCATCCAAGGTAGACAATTCGAGCTGCAGATCGACCTTGAGGACTTTGAAGGGGAACACAGATATGCCCGTTACCAAAGTTTCATCATCGGCAACTTTGAAGAACACTATGCCCTTCATATCTCGGGCTTCAGCGGCGACACAGGTAAGCAGTAGCCTTGCAGAACACTATGCCCTACATATCTCGTGCTTCAGCGGCGACACGGGTAAGCAGTAGCCTTGCAGAACACTATGCCCTACATATCTCTGGCTTCAGCGGCGACACAGGTAAGCTGTAGCCTTGCAGAACACTATGCACTACATATCTCGTGCTTCAGCGGCGACACAGGTAAGCAGTAGCCTTGCAGAACACTATGCACTACATACCTCTGGCTTCAGCGGCGACACGGGTAAGCTGTAGCCTTGCAGAACACTATGCACTACATATCTCGTGCTTCAGCGGCGACACAGGTAAGCAGTAGCCTTGCAGAACACTATGCACTACATATCTCTGGCTTCAGCGGCGACACGGGTAAGCTGTAGCGTTGCAGAACACTATGCACTACATATCTCGTGCTTCAGCGGCGACACGGGTAAGCAGTAGCCTTGCAGAACACTATGCACTACATACCTCGGGCTTCAACGGCAACACAGGTAGCAATAGCCTTGCAGAACACTATGCCCTACATATCTCGTGCTTCAGCGGCGACACGGGTAAGCAGTAGCCTTGCAGAACACTATGCCCTACATATCTCGTGCTTCAGTGGCGACATAGGTAAGCAGTAGCCTTGCAGAACACTATGCCCTACATATCTCTGGCTTCAGCGGCGACACGGGTAAGCTGTAGCCTTGCAGAACACTATGCACTACATATCTCGTGCTTCAGCGGCGACACAGGTAAGCAGTAGCCTTGCAGAACACTATGCACTACATATCTCTGGCTTCAGCGGTGACACGGGTAAGCTGTAGCCTTGCAGAACACTATGCACTACATATCTCGTGCTTCAGTGGCGACACAGGTAAGCAGTAGCCTTGCAGAACACTATGCACTACATACCTCTGGCTTCAGCGGCGACACGGGTAAGCTGTAGCCTTGCAGAACACTATGCACTACATATCTCGTGCTTCAGCGGCGACACAGTTAAGGAGTAGCCTTGCAGAACACTATGCACTACATACCTCGGGCTTCAGCGGCAACACAGGTAGCAGTAGCCTTGCAGAACACTATGCACTACATACCTCGGGCTTCAGCGGCAACACAGGTAAGCAGTAGCCTTGCAGAACACTATGCCCTACATATCTCGTGCTTCAGTTGCGACATAGGTAAGCAGTAGCCTTGCAGAACACTATGCCCTATATATCTCGTGCTTCAGTTGCGACATAGGTAAGCAGTAGCCTTGCAGAACACTATGCACTACATACCTCTGGCTCCAGTTGCGACACAGGTGAGCAGTAGCCTTGCAGAAGACGATGCCCTACATATCTTTGGCTTCAGTTGCGACATAGGTAAGCAGTAGCCTTGAAGAAAACTATGCGGTACATACCTCTGGCTTCAGCGCCGACACAGGTAAGCAGTAGCCTTTCACAACACTATGCCCTACACAACTCGTGCTTCAGCGGCGACACAGGTAAGCAGTAGCCTTGCAGAAGACGATGCCCTACATAGCATATCTCGTGCTTCAGCGGCGACACAGCTGGTAAGCAGTAGCCTTGAAGAAAACTATGCGGTACATACCTCTGGCTTCAGCGCCGACACAGGTAAGCAGTAGCCTTGCACAACACTATGCCCTACATATCTCGTGCTTCAGTGGCGACACAGGTAAGCAGTAGCCTTGCAGAAGACGATGCCCTACATATCTTTGGCTTCAGTTGCGACATAGGTAAGCAGTAGCCTTGCAGAGCACTATGCCCTACATATCTCTGGCTTCAGTGGCGACACAGGTGAGCAGTAACCTTGCAGAAGACGATGCCCTACATATCTCTGGCTTCAGTGGCGGCACAGGTAGCAGTAGCCTTGCAGAAGACGATGCCCTACATATCTCTGGCTTCAGCGGCGACACAGGTAATCAGTAGCCTTGAAGAACACTATGCTTACGATTGCGTGAGCGCCATTGTCGTTAAGGTAAGCAATAGCCTTACATAGCACTAAGCCCCTCATATTTCAGGCTTTAGTGGCCAGAAAGTGAGCTTTTGCCTTGGAGAACAACTTGCTCTAGATACCCTTGGCGTCGGTGGCGTGAATATGAGCATTTCTCTTAAAGAATGTGCATGTGCCGTGCCTGAAGGTGAGAAGTGGCCTGAAGGTGAGAAGTGGCCTGAAGGTGAGCAATGCCGTGAAGGTGAGCAGTGGCCTGAAGGTGAGCAGTGGCCTGAAGGTGAGCAGTGGCCTGAAGGTGAGCAGTGGCCTGAAGGTGAGCAGTAGCCTGAAGGTGAGAAGTGGCCTGAAGTCGAGCAGTGGCCTGAAGGTGAGCAGTGGCCTGAAGGTGAGCAGTGGCCTGAAGGTGAGCAGTGGCCTGAAGGTGAGCAGTAGCCTGAAGGTGAGAAGTGGCCTGAAGATGAGCACTGGTCTGAAGGTGAGCAGTGGTCTGAAGGTGAGCAGTGGCCTGAAGGTGAGCAGTAGCCTGAAGGTGAGAAGTGGCCTGGAGGTGAGCAGTGGCCTGAAGGTGAGAAGTAGCCTGAAGGTGAGCAGTGGCCTGAAGGTGAGCAGTGGCCTGAAGGTGAGAAGTGGCCTGAAGGTGAGCAGTAGCCTGAAGGTGAGCAGTGGCCTGAAGGTGAGCAGTGGCCTGAAGGTGAGCAGTGGCCTGAAGGTGAGCAGTAGCCTGAAGGTGAGAAGTGGCCTGAAGGTGAGCACTGGTCTGAAGGTGAGCAGTGGTCTGAAGGTGAGAAGTGGCCTGAAGGTGAGCACTGGTCTGAAGGTGAGCAGTGGCCTTAAGGTGAGCAGTGGCCTGAAGGTGAGCAGTAGCCTGAAGGTGAGAAGTGGCCTGGAGGTGAGCAGTGGCCTGAAGGTGAGAAGTAGCCTGAAGGTGAGCAGTGGCCTGAAGGTGAGCAGTGGCCTGAAACTGAACAGTGGCCTGAAGGTGAGCAGTAGCCTGAAGGTGAGAAGTGGCCTGAAGGTGAGCAGTGGCCTGAAGGTGAGCAGTAGCCTGAAGGTGAGAAGTGGCCTGAAGGTGAGCAATGCCGTGAAGGTGAGCAGTGGCCTGAAGGTGAGCAGTGGCCTGAAGGTGAGCAGTGGCCTGAAGGTGAGAAGTGACCTGAAGGTGAGAAGTGGCCTGAAGGTGAGCAGTAGCCTGAGAGTGAGAAGTGGCCTGAAGGTGAGCAATGCCGTGAAGGTGAGCAGTGGCCTGAAGGTGAGAAGTGGCCTGAAGGTGAGAAGTGGCCTGAAGGTGAGCAGTGGCCTGAAGGTGAGCAGTGGCCTGAAGGTGAGCAGTAGCCTGAAGGTGAGCAGTGGCCTGAAGGTGAATAGTGGCCTGAAGGTGAGCAGTAGCCTGAAGGTGAGCAGTGGCCTGAAGGTGAGAAGTGGCCTGAAGGTGAGCAGTGGCCTGAAGGTGAGCAGTAGCCTGAAGGTGAGAAGTGGCCTGAAGGTGAGCACTGGTCTGAAGATGAGCAGTGGTCTGAAGGTGAGCAGTGGCCTGAAGGTGAGCAGTAGCCTGAAGGTGAGAAGTGGCCTGGAGGTGAGCAGTTGCCTGAAGGTGAGAAGTAGCCTGAAGGTGAGCAGTGGCCTGAAGGTGAGCAGTGGCCTGAAGGTGAACAGTGGCCTGAAGGTGAGCAGTAGCCTGAAGGTGAGAAGTGGCCTGAAGGTGAGCAGTGGCCTGAAGGTGAGCAGTAGCCTGAAGGTGAGAAGTGGCCTGAAGGTGAGCAATGCCGTGAAGGTGAGCAGTGGCCTGAAGGTGAGCAGTGGCCTGAAGGTGAGCAGTGGCCTGAAGGTGAGAAGTGACCTGAAGGTGAGAAGTGGCCTGAAGGTGAGCAGTAGCCTGAGAGTGAGAAGTGGCCTGAAGGTGAGCAATGCCGTGAAGGTGAGCAGTGGCCTGAAGGTGAGAAGTGGCCTGAAGGTGAGAAGTGGCCTGAAGGTGAGCAGTGGCCTGAAGGTGAGCAGTGGCCTGAAGGTGAGCAGTGGTCTGAAGGTGAGCAGTGGCCTGAAGGTGAGAAGTGGCCTGAAGGTGAGCAGTGGCCTGAAGGTGAGCAGTGGCCTGAATGTGAGAAGTAGCCTGAAGGTGAGCAGTGGCCTGAAGGTGAGCAGTGGCCTGAAGGTGAGCAGTAGCCTGAAGGTGAGCAGTGGCCTGAAGGTGAGCAGTAGCCTGAAGGTGAGCAGTGGCCTTATAGAATAATAAGCTGTACATACCTGGTGCTTCACTGTCGAGAAAGTGAGCTCCATTGGCGTGGCCTTGCAGAATACTATTCTCTTCGTGCTCCACTTGGTGCGGTCGGGTAGCCTAGTAGGTAAAGCGTTCGCTGGTCACGCCGAAGGCCAAGGTTCGAATCCCGACATTGGTACAATGTGTGAAGCCCCGCCGTGATATTACTGGAATATTGCTAAAATTGGCGTAAAACCATACTCACTCACTCGTGCTCCACTTAAAGATTTTTGGGCTTTAGTTACCAAGGTAACCAATACAGATAGAAGCATTATCATAATACATGATACTTCTCTTGATTAAAGGTTTTGGTTGAACATGTGTACCCACTACTCAATTCACAAGAACATTGGCTTAACCATTGTTGATACTTTCACCAGCAACACTTACCAATGTCTTCATCGTTTTGTTACAGGCAACTCAATGGCTCGACACAATGGCCAGGCATTTTCAACCCGTGATCGTGACCTTGATCTGGACACTGATGATTCTTGTGCACAAAAATATCTAGGAGGATGGTGGTACGAGATCTGTCACTCGTCGAATCTGAATGGTGAATACAACAACACACTCTTTGGCAAAGGGATCATCTGGGACAGCTGGCACGGTGCCCTCTACTCTTTGAAAACGTCAGTGATGAAAGTACGACCTGTTTTGTAAGACCGACAAGTTCATCAGCTATGTTTTCAGAATATTTGGTGGTTAAATTATTTTTAAAACAAAGAACCAGGAATGTATGTTTCGGAAGAAACACGTGGCTTGCCTTATTCTTTTGTCATGAGTAGGCCAGTCCCGGTGATGAGACTTACCCGTGTCAACATCACACCCGTGCTTGAGTGAGTGAGTGAGTATGGTTTTACGCTGCTTTTAGCGAACGCTTTAACCACTAGGCTACCCGACCGTCTCACCCGTGTTTGCACCTGTGATGGACACGACACGAACTGTTGTCAAAGCGGAGAGAAACGCAACCCACTCACTGAACGTTGTTAATATTAATCCTTAAAAGTAGCCCGGCTATGTGGTCTAGTGGTGGAGCGTCCGCCTGGTGAGCGGAAGATCCTGGGTTGGATCCCTGGCCGCGTCAAACCAGAATATGTTAAAAGATATTACTTGTTATTCTTCTGTCTGTCGCTCGGGATTAAGGTTCTAAAAGAAGAACTGGATTGCTCGGAGTCAGTATACTGTGTCAGAGGGGGTATTCATGTTACACTGAGGCATGTTATCTCAGTGGAATATAACAGTACGGACTGGTACAAGCATAGGCCCTCATGCATACACATCGCTATATCAGTTAAATAATCGTTAAAACCTATTTCACCACACCTCCTTAAAAATACGAGTCATCAATTTAATTACTTCAGAGAAGACATTACCACTGCTGAACTTGGGGACGACACAGGTCTAAGCCAATGGTCCATTGAAACTATTATTCATGAATATTTACTGATGAATAAGATATCTGCTCGTTTGGAAGACAAAGTTTCTAAATTCTTATCATAAGGAAAAAACAACTGACATTGTCAGAGAAAATTTTGATTAATTTTGATTGTTAGGCATAGAACTGTTTGACAAGCCCTCGTACTCATAAAGTCAGAACCGGTGGCATTGGTGGCCAAGTAGTTAAATGCGACTCAGTTGCTCTGTACAGCTGTCGAGATCTGTGTCTGGCATGTCTTAGACGAACCAGAATCCTATGATCGTGGGTTCGATTATGATCATGATATCATGACTCTTGGTATGTTGTTATCTGACCTGTGTCATTGGTCAGCACCGTACTCTGCTCGTGGGTTTCCGGGGGCACGGGTGGCCCACTCGTCTAAGGCGCCGAGATTCGCTGTGCAGAGTTGCGTTCCGTGGACACGCCAGAAACCTATGATTGTGGGTTCGAATCCCTGTTCGCCCCGATTATGTTTCTGGGTTAGTCAGCACTATACCCGTGCTCGTGGGTTTCACCGAAATGATAAACGTCTGAGACCTGCATCATTTCGGGCTTTCCTCCCACATTAAGCTGACACGCAGCGGGTTAACTGGAATACTGTTAAAAGCGGCGTTAAACCAAACTCACTCACTCCCTCGAGGGTTCCACCAAATTGGCAAAGTCCTGGGCCCTGCATCACTTCGGATTTTCTTCCCGCAACAAGCTCTTACCACCTATTGAAGGTATATGTCAGTTTATGTGTTTGTGTTTTACAGGAAGAAATATGAAAATGTATTATTCTGTCATTGACCGATGTTTCATACAGTTTCGGTAAACCAGATTGCACATTTACATGGCTGTCACTCACACATTGTCTATGAAATGTATTCTGTGACATGATTGGCTATGTCTTGTTCATCCACTCTATTCTGTGACGTGATTGGCTGTTTCTTGTTGATCCACTATATTCTGTGACGTGATTGGCTGTGTCTTGTTCATCCACTCTATTCTGTAACGTGATTGGCTGTGTCTTGTTCATCCTCTCTATTCTGTGACGTGATTGGCTGTGTCTTGTTCATCCACTCTATTCTGTGACGTGATTGGCTGTTTCTTGTTCATCCACTCTATTCTGTGACGTGATTGGCTGTTTCTTGTTCATCCACTCTATTCTGTGAATGGATTGGCTGAATTACTTTGTATGATACTTCACTGAATATGCTCAATCAAAATGCTCCTTACCACACGTTTAATGTCTTAGTAGTACAGTGGTTGAGCGTCCGCCCTGAGAGCGGAATGTCCGAGGTCCGGACTAGTACAAGCAGCCACACAAACACGTGCATGCACGTCGCTATAAGTGCAATAACCGTGAACGCGACGTTAAACCCCATTTCTCCACGGCTCACCTCACTTAAATTATAAATGTGTACTGTCCTATATTCGATATACCCCTAACTATTTTGGTGGTGGTACAGAGTTATCTCTTCTTGGCGGAAGTAACTGCAGTTACATTGTTGAGATGTATAATTATGCCAAGGTGTAGGTTTCATTTTTGTGTGTACTTAGTATAATATTTTCTACTGGTTTTGCCTATGTTTGAATCTCCCAGGATGTTTAAGATACAATTTTGTACAATTGAAAGGAAATGTTGAGAGTAAAATGACCGATTCAATGTTTGGCATAACAGCATATATTTGAACTCCAAGGCTTCAAAATCAAACGTATTCTCAAAACAGAAAATGATGATCCGTGACAAGAACGACAGAACATCTTATGCAATATTGTTGATATGTTGTCGTTGCTGTAAAGGTCATACTATTTGAAATCATAACATATTAACACAATAATCGCCATGCATTAACAAATGATCAGTTGTATTCTCCCATGTGTTGTGATGCCACAACATACCCTTACACTTCTACCCCAAAACTGACGACGTTGAGTGAAGCAGGCGCTGCTACAATCTCATTAATATGAGATCTTAGTTCTTGCTACCGCTAAACAAAGATCTGAAGACATCCCTCGTTTGGCTGAAACGTTCTCAGAGCTGTCCAGATGACACCGGGACTCATCTGGGAACAAAATACTGTCCCAGTCTTGACGTCTGATCATCAGATGCTGTCAACACCAAGCTAGGCGTAGATATGGATGTCTGGCCAGACGTCATGCTCCCCCAACCGGCTGTGATACTTAGCAGTTACAGGTAACTACGGTTATAACGAACATGCTTATAACAAACTGACGGATATAACGAACTTACTTTTTTTGTCCCGCCTATTTGCTGTGGTTATGCTGTATATATGCTTATAACGAACTACGGTTATAATGAACTGATATTAGTAGTCCCTTTGGGTTCGTTATAACCGTAGTTTACTGTATATGTCAGGAAGTGTTCCCGTCTCTTTTAATCCTGCACATATAATTTTGCATACATCATTGAGTGTGAAAATCTACCTTTGCTCTTGTTCCTATTAACAATTAAAAGAACAATACATGTCTGTTATTGGCAATTTATGACTATAATCCTGTTTGGATGCTACCTACTGCTACCCTCAGTCCAATTCCACACAATGAATGCTTGTCAGGAATTAATCCCCTCAGTAGATTTTTGAAGGAATCTTCAATAGTGTTACAGATAATGATTAGTCAACATTAGTTGCGGACACGGTAATCAAACGGATGAGCAGAAACAAAAACGCCGAAATGCCATTTAAATACATCAAAGTAGTAGAAGGCAGTTTGGGCGCCGGATCAATAATTGAAATTGTTAATCACGTCAGACATCAGGAACCCGTTTAATCCCAGACGAGGACGATTTCGCATGTCGTTTTTGTCGTCTTCAAAGTTGATTTAATATTTTGGTTGGTAATGTTGAAGGTTCTATCAGCTACAATATGAAACCACTTTGATATCAACTGTGCAGGTATTAACCATGGTATATAAAGTATCGTTTGTTTGTTTGATTGTTGCGCTCAGCAATATTCCAGCTATATGACGGTGGTCTGTAAATTAAACGAATCCAGACCACACAATTCAGTGATTGACATCCTGAGCATCGATCCACGCACTTGGGATAGGATGACATGCATCAGCCTAGTTAACAAGTCTGACCACCTGATCCCTTAAGTCGCCCTTATGACAAGCATGATCGCCTTTTACAGCAAGCATGGTGTAGCAGTAAGTCAATATATCAAATGTGCTAACATTATAGCATGTTCCATCTGTAAAACTGTAAAATATATCATAAAGAAATGCACAGAGAGCAGAGAAGACCTTCATCTCGGACTCCTAGCATATCACAGTACACCACTGGAGTGTGGATTCTCACCATCACAGTTACTGATGAATCGTCGACTAAGATCAAACCTCCGTCTGAAATCATCAATATTACAAATGAACACTCCAGACCAACAAGCAGGTAACAATGTCAGAGTACACAATGAGACTACAAACAACTGGAACACCAAGGGAGCAGTAATCCAGGAAGTTTCACCAAGGTCATACTTGGTGAAAACAGATTCTGGTGGAATCATCAGAAGAACTTGCAGAGATCTGCTACTCCAGATAGTCAACGAGCGGCCACAACAGTCTACAATAGCTCCGATGCAGCAACAGCAACAGCAAGTTAACAACACTGATATTACAACAACCCAATCCGGCAGAGTGATCAATAAGCCAGAAAGACTGATTGAAAATGACTGATATGTGTTTACAAATGTGTTCAAAACCTTTCAAACGACTGTTCAGATAACTTTTTAAAGTTAAAAAAATGTATGTGTCCTAGTCATTTCCACAGTTAAAATACTCATTTATCATGCTAGGAGTTAAAGCAAACTCATATCATGGACTCTAAGTATTGAGTTTGAGCAATATAGTTTATATATTCTGTTGTGTTGCATTAAGTTTTAAAGAAAAGCTTTATTAACTTAAGAAGGGAGATGCAGCAGTAAGTCAATATATCAAATGTGTTTACATTATAGCATGTTCCACCAGAGTGCTATGTACACAGTTATTATAGCTAGTTGTTGTACCAGCACTGTACTGTAGATCACTGGGAGTTATTCCCCTTTAGTTGATTAAACATCGCTATAACCCAGACATGTGCTTTTGACTCACTAGAAAGTTGAACCTCATAAACAGAAGTTCCAGAAGTCAATAAGACCATTACACATGGGTTGCTGAAGGCCTATTCTACCCCGGATCCTCACAATGAGGTATTGAGAAAAGAGATACGGCCCCAATTATATAAAAGTCTGTCTTTTTTTGGCTTTGTTGAATGCAAGTTCTCATACATCAGCTCATTGTGTGAAAAAAACCCATTAATCATTAAGAAATCTATATATTCAAATTACTAAATCTTTCCAGAATATCTTAAATATTCTACAATAAAATCGTCTTGTGCAGGACGTTTATTCTTTGATTTAACAGCTTTC